TTAAGATGAACAATTACCTATAGCATAGGAAACTTCTAACAGTGTTCACTGTTCTTCAAAATGGCATTATTTTAAAAAAATATTTATATATTTGTTTGGCCTTGCCAGGTCTTAGTTGCGGCACATGGGATCTTCAGTCTTTGCTGCGGCATACAGGATCTTTAGTTGCAGCATGTGGTATCTACTTCTCTGACCGGAGACTGAACCTGGACCCCCTGCATTGCAAGCAGCGTCTTAACCACTGGACCAGCAGGGAAGTCCCCAGAACTGCATTATCATTAGTTTTTTAAAAAGTTATACTGAGCTGTGGTATTAGCAGAGTGATAGACACGGAAATTAATGGAACAGACTAGAAAGTCCAGAGATAGACTTACATAAAAATAGTCATTTGATCTTTGACAAAGATGCCAAAGCAATTCAACAGAAAAAGGATAGTCTTTTCAACATGATGTTGAATCTATTAGACATCCACAAACAAAATAATTAACCTCAACCTAAACTACACAGCTTATACAAAGGTTAACTCAAAATGGATCATAGCTCTAAATTTAAGATGTAAAAGTTTAAAGATTTTAGAAGAAAACAGAAATCTTTATGTCCTGAAATTAAAAGTTCTTAGAAATGACACACCAAAAGCATAATACATACAAAGGAAAAATTTTGTCAAATTATATCTCATCAAAATGAAAACTTCTGCTCTACAAGAGGCAATGTCTAAAGGATGAAAACACATGCCATGTGCTGGAAGAAAACATTTGCAAAGCATGTGTCTGACAGAGGGGGGTTCCCATGTGGCTTAGTGGTAAAGAATCTGCCTTCCAATGCAGGAGACACAAGAGACTCAGGTTTGATTCCTTAGGCGGGAAGATCCCTTGGAGTAGGAAATGGCAACCAACTCCAGTATTCTTGCCTGGGAAATTCCATGGACAGAGGAATCTGGCAGGCTGAACATGACTGACTGACTGAGCGCACACACACATCTGACAAAGGACTTGTATTCAACATATATTAAAAAAAAAAAAAACAGCCTTTCAAATGTAATAATAATAAATAATCTAATTAAACATGAGCAAAAGATTTAAAGAGATATATTCACCAGAAGGATATAAGGATGGTAAATAAGTGCATGAAAAGATATTCACCATTGTTAATTGTTTCAGGCTAAATAGGGACCCCAAATATATCTATGTCTTAATTCCTGGAACTTGTGAATGTGACCTGACACAGCAAAAGTGACTTCACAAATGTGATCTTGAGATAGGGCAATTATTCTGGACTTTTAGGTGGATCCCAAATGTACTCACCAGCATCCTTATGAGAGGGAGACCAGAATGTCAGAGGAGAAGGGAGATGATCGAAGCAGAGAGACATTTTAAAATGATACGCCGATGACTTTCAAGATGGAGAAAGGGGCCATGAATGCAGGGATTACATTATATGTGGGTTGCAATATATTATAGAATTATGTATAAAAATATCCAGGTGATATAGAATCCATTGAAAGGACCCACTTTCTGTTTAGTTCCTAGAACATGGATGGATGCAGAGAACCCAGCCTTTTGATGAGATGCCTAGAACATGTGACCCAAAGTGGGTGTCTGGACAGATATGAACTACAAGATGCTGAACAATGAATTCCTGATGAATTCAGTTCAGGATAAGCATGATATTTAAAAGTTAAACTCTGTGATCAGAGAGACATGTCTTTAAAACTCCAGTTGTTATTTATTGGACTTTTAGCAAATTAACAGCTCTAAACTTCAGTTTGTTCTTCTGTAAAATGAAGATGCCCAGAGCACCTACTTCCTGCCATTACCCAGTGAAACCAGATAATGCGTTTAATGTGCTACCCCAGAGATAACACTCAAGAGGTTGGCTGTTACTATTATGGTGATAGTCACCACCCACCCTCTTGGACAATCAAAGTGTATGACGGCATAGGAAAGACTGAGCAACTCTGTTGAACAAGTTTAATTTTGTAGAACTTGCTAGCCTCACTTACTGTCTTGAGGACCTGGTAATGAATCCTCTTTAGCTGATAATGAGAAAGTGGTTGAGCGTCAGGGAGGGGCTATTTGTTGCGTCAGGTGATTTTTACCACCGTTTTACCACCATTCAGGGTCTAGCGTGGCAATCTTCGCATTTTTCAGAGCTTTTCTTGCAGAATTAAGATTTTATAACTGAGTAGGACCCGATGGGACCTTCCTGCAACAGACCCTTTCCCCTTCCCCTTTGCTTCAGCTCCTCTCTGAAGTACCTAGATAACAGATTTGATGCACATTTCCTGAGCTGTTTTACAGGTATTAACCCCCCCCCCACCAAATGGAAGTAATTAATTATTTGATGACCATGAGCACGTAGCCCTCCCTACACACACCTATTGGAGCCTAAGGATTGATATTGTTAACCCCTGGGACACTGCCCCGTTACCTTACCAATCAGAGAATTGTGTGTGAGCTGATCTCACAGTCTGGGACACCCCCCCTCCACCTTCCATGATAAATGCTTTGCAGAAAGCCATGGGGAGGACAGGGTTTTTGAGCACTAGCTGTTCCAGGCTTTGTATGGCTTCCTACAGTGAACACTGTGCTGTCCTTCACCACAACCTGATGTCAGCAGACGGGCCTTACTGCACGCAGGCGAGCAGACCCAGGTTTGGCTTGGTAATAATTTAAGTTCACATCTCTTTTCTCACCTTTCTAGATGTGTTATTATTTTCTAAAAAATTTTATTGAAGTATAGCTTATTTTCAGTATTGTGTTAATTTCTGCCATACAACAGTGATTCAGTTATACATATATATTTATGCTCTTCCATTATGGTTTATCACAGGATATTGAATATAATTCCCCATGCTCTATAGTATGACCTTGTTGTTTATCCATCCTATATATAATAGTTTGCATCTGCTAATCCTAAACTCCCAATCCTTCCCTCCCCACCCCTCTCCCAGCACCCTGCCTTGAAAACTACAAGTGTGTTCTCTGGGTCTGTGAGTCTGCTTCCGTTTTGTAGTTATGTTCATTTGTATTGTATTTTAGATTTCACATATAAGTGATACCACGTGGTATTTCTTTTTCTTTCCTACTTTGCTTACTATGATAATCTCTAGGTCCAACCATATTGCTACAAATGGTATTAGTTCATTCTTTTTATGACTGAGTGTATTCCATTGTATATGTGTACCACATCTTCTTTATTCATTCATCTGTGAATGGACATTCTGTATCTTGGCTATTGTGAATAGTGCTGCTCTGAGTATATGGGTACACGAGTCTTTCTGAATTATGGTTTTCTCTGCATATATGCCCAGGAGTGGGATTGCAGGATCACATGATGATTTTATGTTTAGTTTTCTGAGGGCCTCCATACTCGTTTGCCATAGTGGCAGCACCAGTTTACATTCCCAATAACAGTGTAGGAGGGCTCCCTTTTTTCTATACTCTCTCCAGCATTTGTTACTTGCAGACTTTTTAATGATGGCCATTCTGACTGGTATGAACTGATATCTTTCTCCTTCCTACTTACTTTGCTTTTCTCTAATAATTAGCAATGATGAGCATCTTTTCTTGTGCCTGTTGGCCGTCTATATTTCTTCTCTGGAGAAATGTCTCTTCAGGTCTTCTGCCCATTTTTCGATTGAGCTGTCTGGGTATTTTTGGTTATTGAGTTGTATGAGCTGTTTGTATTCAATGTATGACTTATGAGCCACCCAGCTTCTCTCTCACCTGTCCTGAGTTTTGACCCTAATGAATAAGTTGAGAAGAAAGCTGTGATTTCCCAAAAAGTAAATGCATATCCTTTTAAGTCCTGTAATTGGAAAAAGATAAGGATAGACTTTTAGAGTGAAATAAAACTTTTGTACTTCATAAAACACAGATAATATTCAAGTCAGCTCCTTGCTGGGAAGAAACAAATCACTCTTATCAGGAGCTTAGGCAGGAGAAGGTAGGAGGCATCAGGCTTTTTTACACCAGACCCATCAGTTTAAATCTACATTCTTTTCTCAGGGTGTCATTGAATCCTGAAGATCCAGAGCTCTATTTTCTCTTTTGTCCTGTGAGACTTCTTCAGTTTGTCTCCAGATTTAGAGCAGGAAACCTGTGATGTTGACGGCAAGTGACCTTGTGGGCCTGAGAAGACGAAGGTGTCTTGCTAATCTGCTTGCCAGTATCCTTAATGTGTTCACTTGGTCCCATGAACTTTCGCCCCCAAGGCCCAAAGTAGACAGTTGATTCCTCCTCTCATTTACCTGGGTGGGGCCACTCTCCCAGATGCAGAGCAGATGAAGGGGTGCTGGTTGTGAAATATTGCCGCCCACCCACCCCCAACCCTTTCAATCAAAACCCCGCTTTTTGTGATTAACCTCTGTGCTATGGAAGCCCCAGATCTTCAATGTGCTCCAAACATCCTGGGCTCCTTTCTAATTCCTGAAGATCCCCTACTAATCCCCAGGTTGAGAAGTCAGAATTTCCGTTTGATTTGCTGGGACCTGTTTGCAGTCTTTGTGTTTGCACTGCTTAGAAGTGATTTTCTATGCATTTTCTTCTCACTGAACTGCACCCAAAATAAACGCTGTAGGCTTTGACATGGGAAAATTTACTTGTTCAGACATGCTCACCCTGCTGACACATCCACAGATTGTACCACACACCTGTGATACGAGTCCTTGACAGGTCTTAAAAACTGCTAACATATTTATCATTTCCAGCATAGTACAGACTAATGACTATTTCACTAGGACTAGTCTTTTAACTTTCTTTTAAATCATATTATAATTCATTTTTACAATACTCAGCCTAGACTCAGCCTAGACTCAGCCTATTTTTACAATACAATAAAACAATGTTAACAATATAGGGACGGCGTTTGGAGGGGAGCAGAATTAAAATGAGTTACTTGAGTAAAATGAAGATTGTGATGTCGTAACTCATGACAACCCAGAGCGAGGCACGAGAGAGTGCTGGATTGGGAAGATAGTACCTGAGTTCTAAATCTAACTCTGCCACCAACTGTTGGTGGGACTTTGGGAAGCATCGTCGAGTACCTCATCTGAACTAGATCTATGATTTCCAAATTCGGTAGGATAAAAGAATCACCTGGATTATCTATTCAAAAAACAGATTTCTAGTCCTCAGCCCAACCTTACTGAATTGGAATCTCCAGGGAAGTGATCTGCCAAAGACACACAACACCCTGTGTGATTCTTTTGAACAATTTTGGGAAACACTGAGCTAGGTAATGTCTAGGTCTTCTAGTTCCGAGAGCTAGGATAAAATCCTGAATGCTAGAATTCACCCGTGAATGAGAAAAATCTTAGGATAATATTTGTTATATTTAGTATTTTTATAAATATTTTTGAAAAGCTATTAAGGTTAATGCTATGGTTTGTTTTTTATGGATTTCAGTGTTTTTCAGATTTCTTTTTTTCTCTTTAATTCATCAAATGTAATATACGGCCTGTACAGCCCATGTTGTTATACCACGGGTAAATGAGATCAGGATGTGAAAGTTCATTATTATTATTGTTAGTAAAATAACTACCATAGGGTAGAAACTGCTTTTATTAATTTGTTAAGTCTGCTAGTTTCTTTGACTTTGTTCCTATTGGTGAAAATATTAGAATGGAGTCACCCTGGCAGGGCAGTGAGAATATGTTGGAATTCTTTCCTAATCCCCCACTTATCTTTGTGGTTACCTGGTATTGTTATCTAAAGGCAGAGTGGCAGAAGCCTCCCCACCCTCAGTAAGGAAAGATCAAGAAAACGAACCTTTTCTAATCCTGGCTGCAGGGATTGAAATTGTCCCCTGTCTTGGAGCATCACATGCAAGCTCTGTGTGAAGTCAGCTAGAATTTCTTCTGAAATTTCCAGAGAAAGATATCAGATTCCCAAGCAGGTACTGAGTACGTGGGAGTCAGACTGGGTAGATGGTAATCACCTAGAACAGAACAGAGTCTCAGGTGTGGGGTTAGGATACAAGGCAAGGCCTTGTAGAAATCAAGATGTCCAGTGAGGTCCACTACTCAGATTTGGCAAATAAAAATATAGACCACTCAGTTACTTGAGTTTTGAATTTCAGGTAAGCAGGGAACAATTATTAAAGATAAAAGATGTCCCATGCAATATATATGCAATTTGAATTTAATTGGGAGTCCTAAACTGTTTTTTTTTTTTGGGAGTCCTAAATTTTATGTGGCAATGTTAACAGGAACAAACTATTTCAGAGCTTTCATAGACAGCATTTGAGTTTTTCCTGCTTCTACTTAAGACCTCTAGGTTTCACCATGTTCTTCTCTGTCAGTAACCTGGAGGCTCTATTCATAAGGTAAGACTAGAGGGGGGAGAGATCCATTTTCCCAAACAGTAATATCTGTAATTTTATTTCTGATTTACATAATTAGATTTGACACTCATACAGACCCTCTGTATAACAGAATACAGTAGGTGGTTTCTTTTTGAACATATAATATTACTAAGCTAGGAAGTGTCTTTCTCTTCAAACAGTTGTTTTTCTTTTCATAAGTTGGCAACGTTCATTTCTTACAATCAATTTGTGGAGATGATTTATAAAATTAATTATGAACATCTACAGGAATTCTTTATCCTCTAAACAATGGTATTTATTTAAAATATAAAATCAGGACTTAAAAATTAATTCTACTTGTGTTATTTGTCATGGGGAAGTATTTTGTCTAAATCAGACAAAAGAGCATGGAAAATATACTGTTTGGTTTCTTCCCATGCAGGTCCTGTGCCCTTCTTAATTTTCTCCCTTGGAAATAGTATCTTTAGGATTGACTTGAAAGGAATGAATTATGAACGATTGGTGGCAGATGCTGGCGTATCAGTGATCATGGATTTTCATTACAGTGAAGTTGTAGTGAAGTTGTCTTTGCAAGACAACTCTTGCAAGAGTCCATTTGAATGGGACAGAGGCAAGAGGTAAAGTAACATTTCCTGTGTCATTTGAGGGATTTTTTTGAACAGGCTGTCAAAAATGATAAAGCAAAATTTGTAACATTCAGATAAATGAAAATTATTACAATGCATCCAGCATATGTAGGTATTTAATCTGCATCTGTGCTATCATATTATTGAACAAGCCCATGCATGTGGCATTGATATTCAGAAGTCCCCAAAAGAGAAAGTGAGGATGTCTATGTAATTTTGGAAAGATGTAAGTGTAATAAGCCAGATCACCATTTTATGGTTAAGACAGATTATTTACACCATTATTTTCTATTCTAGTGGTTCTCAGCTGGAGGCAAGTTTGCCTCCAGGGACCTTTGGCAATGTCTAGAAACATTTTGGTTGTCACAACTAGAATGGGGAGAAGAGAGAATGTGTTAAGGGGCCAGAGGCACTGCCAACCATCCTACAATATATAGGACAGTCCCCCAAACAGAGAATTATCAGGCCCTAAACATCAATTGTGGTGAGGTTGAGAAGCCCTGTTTTATCTGTTTAAAATCTGTCATGGGTTTTTGCACCTGAAATTTAGGAAGAAATTTTTTTTCTTCTCAAGGTGTTTGCATGCTGGAAAAAAATAATAAAGCAGGAGATAGATAGCAATATATTTTGGTTCAAGCACATACAAAAGATCTTTAATCTTTCTTCTTAATTAGTAAAACCCTTAAATGAGTCCCAATAGGAATGTTTCTCCTGGGAAGTGAATTATAGAGAGCAGGTGGCTTCACCTTCAGTATTTATCCCCAACACAAAGTACCTACTGTTTGCTTTTGTGTTTTTGTTTAATTTTTGTTTTTAAACAAAATTTTCACCCTCCTAAAGCCTCAATTAGGTGCTAATTTGTTTTACCACATCTCTAATACTTGCTAATCTCACTTTTAACAAAATGGCTACTCATTATTCTCCAGCCATCCATAGACCAGTTCCAAAATCTTGAGTTTAAGAATCTGGAGGGTTTATTGTCAGAGAAATGGAAAAAAGCATTAGATAGTTGGGAATTTGTGGCAAATCATTAGGAACAGATTGGCCTGAAGCCTAAAATCCACTAGTATTTGTCCCTCCTTTGTTAAAACATTGTTTACAGGAGACAACCTTTAAAAAGCAAATAGTTTACCTGCGTGAATTAATATATTAGCAACTGATTAAATGGATTGGATAGATTACTTCGTATGAAATGTAGGAATAGCACAGATTCTGGAGACTGATTTCTGCCCAACTCTGTGTTCAGTGACTTCATGTTGGTAGTTGAAAACCAGAGATTGTGGGACTATTTCCACCACGGAAATTTGCTGTGGTGCAAACCAGGGCTTCCTCCTGTCTCTCACCCTCCACCCTGTTAGAGGACTGGTTTACTTGCACAGCATGAAATTAGAAGAGGTTTGATTAAGTTGTTTTTATAATGAGAAAGCATAAAGAAAAGCCCTGCTATGAGGATCCTGGGGTCACAGCCGGAAGGGTGAGGACTTGTAGAAAGAGCAGGACTTGGTGGAGAAGGTGCTAGAAGAAAAGTGGGGGCCCTAATGCGAAATCTACTTCATGACCCTATGCACAAACTCCAAGGCAGTCTTGCTAGCATTTAGCAAAGCTTGAAATTGGATTCAGGCGAGAATCTGGGAAATTCCACTGGCAAATGGAGTTGAATAAACTAACTGTAAGGTAAAATTGAAATTCCGCCATTACTGTAGTTAAAATTATTCACACATTATGACTGACTGCCTAATTTACATAAATAGAGAGTAAATTTTCATTTCAAAACTGTGATATAAATTCTATGCCCAGAAATATTCACATGGGAGAATGAATATTGCTGCATCTGAACAATGGCACAATATCTACAAATAGTTTATCATTTAAATAATTTTGGGAAAGTACAAAAATGACAATTACTTAAAAGAATAAACTTTGTTGTATAAAAATAAAACAATTTTGCTGTGAATGGATAAATACTAATAACAATTTAAAATTTTGATTTTACAGAAAGTATGTGATATAGATAAAAATGTTTCAGGAATGACAATAAATTGGATCAATGAAGAACTTATTTGGTCAAATCAACAAGAAGGAATCATTTCAGTAACTGATATGAAAGGAAACAATTCCCAGGTTCTCGTAAGTGCCTTAAAATATCCTGCAAATATAGTAGTTGATCCAGTAGCAAGGTAAATTCTGTTGGCTTTGGACATTGAAATATATTTCAAAATCTGATGAAAAGTCAAGGAATCATAACATTTTGACTCAAACGGGCCTCCTGATTGAGACAAAGACCCTCTCTTATGATGCACAAACCCCATTTTCAATAGGGCATTTGCCTGGATTTGAACCGAAGCAGGCTCCCTCTACCAATAGCATCTTGACTACCAAGGTTTCCAACTAGAGAAGCAAAATTCTCTTTCTAATTTGAAATCACATGGAATTGCAGTAACAGGGCAATAAATATTTGTTGAATTGAATTTTCATTCAAATAGTCAAACTTGTTCTGTGCAGACCTCTGGGGACTACTGGAACATTGAAAGAGTCAACCATTTAAGTGACCTGACACTCACTGAGGTGTCTCTGTGATATGTTTGCCGTTCATGTTTTGGTCTTCAGAGGTGGCTGGCAGCCTTCACAGAGCAGATCTTGGTGGTGTGGAAGTGGAGCTTCTGTTGGAGACATAAGAGAAAATTGCAGCTGTATCACTGGATGTGCTTGATAAACGGCTCTTTTGGATTCAGTACTATAGAGAAGGAGGTGATCCTTGTATTTCTTCCTGTGATTATGACGGCGGTTCTGTCCTTTTTAGCAAATATCCCCTGCAGTAAGTTTTGCTTTTGGTGTAAAATAAAACACTTGCCATTTGGAGTTTGTGTGATAAGTGAATTTTACTTTTGTCAGCTAAACCGATGTAGTGGTTTAGCACAGATTTTGGGGTCCAAAAGACTTGAGTTCAAGTCCCAGATATACTATTTATTAGGTGAGTGACTTAGATAGGTTACATGACTTCTCTCATCTTGCTTCCTTTAATGCGAGTGTTGGAGGATGGAGGGAACAGGAAGTGCCCACTGAATTGAAAAAGTATCTTGAGATTGAAAAAGAAGGCAGGCCACTCCATACAATCAGTGGATCAGTATATTTTTGGGTAACTTACAGGGTGGGATCAGGTGGATAATGATCCGAAAGCATTTGTAGCTGCACTCCATACTGTGAAGGGGCCATTGAGACAAGTTTAGAGTTAACCTAGGGTCTAGGAGTACATACTTGGAAATAGGAAGTGCATTCCTAAGTCAAGAGTCATGAATGAATAACTTAGTCTTGTGGGTGCTGAAAATACAACAGTGAAGGTCCTCATCACGTTTTGGTGACCAATAGAGCATAGAGGCTACTCGATCCTAATGATTATTAAACCATATCTGTTGATTACAAGATCCACTGGAGAAGGAAATGGCAACCCACTCCAATATTCTTGCCTGGGAAATCCCATGGACAGAGGAGCCTGACAGGCTATGGTCCATGGGGTTGCAAAGAGTTGGACATGACTTAGTGACTGAACAACAACAATTAATTACAAAGCCTTTGACAACAGAAGTTATTTGCTGCACAGTACAGTCCTGAGTAGGGTAGGGTCAGTGGAAAGACAGGAGAAACTATACAGGCCTGATATGCTATCAATTATGCTGACAGCCATATAGTGGGGATAGTTTGTTGTTGCCGTTTCTAAGTCATATCCAACTCTTTGAGACCCCATGAGCTATAGTATGCCAGGCTCTTCTGTTCCCACCATCTCCTAGAGTTTGCTCAAATTCATGTTCATTGAGTTGGTGATGCTATCTAACCATCTCATCCTCTACTTCCCCCTTCTCCTTTTGCCTGTACTTTCCCCCAGCATCAGGGTCTTTTCCAATGGGTCAGCTCTTCACATCAGGTGGCCAAAGTATTGGAGCTTCAACATCAGTCCTTCCAGTGAATATTCAGTGTTGGTTTCCTTTAGGACTGACTGGTTTAATCTCCTTGCAGTCCAAGGGACTCTCGAGAGTCTTCTCCAGCACCACAGTTTGAAAAGCATCAATTCTTCAGCACTCAGCCTTCTTTATGGTCCAACTCTCATATTTGTACATGACTCCTGGGAAAACCATGGCTTTGACTATACAGACATTTGTGGGCAAAGTAATAGCTTTGCTTTTTAATATGCTGTCTACATTTGTCATACCTTTCCTTCCAAGGATTTTTAATTTCATGGCTGCTGTGACCATCTGCAGTGATTTTGGAGCCCAATAAAATAAAGTCTGTCACTGCCTTCACTTTTTCCCCTTCTATTTGCCACAAAGTGATGAGACCAGAAGCCATAATCTTAGTTCTTTGAATGCTGAGTTTCAAGCCGACTTTTTCTCTCTCATCCTTCACCCTCATTAAGAGGCTCTTTAGTTCCTCTTCACTTTCTGCCTTTAGAGTAGTATCTGTATATCTGAGGTTGTTGATATTTCTCCCAGCAATCTTGATTCTAGCTTGTTATTCATCCAGCCTGGCATTTCTCATGATGTGCTATGCATATAAGTGAAATAGGCAGAGTGACAATATACAGCCTTGTTGTACTCCTTTCCCAATTTTGAACCAATCAATTGTTCTATGTCTGGTTCTATCTGTTGCTTCTTGACCCACATACAGGTTTCACAGGAAACAGGTAAGGTGGTCTGGTACTCCCATCTCTTTAAGAATTTTCCAGTTTGTTGTGATTCACTCAGTCAAAGGCTTTACCATAGTCAACGAAGCAGAGGTTTTTCAGTGGGAATAATAGTAGCACCTATTACTTGAGATTATTGTGAAGATTAAGTAAATAAATAAATAAAAATAACAGAGTATTTGGCTTATAGTTTTCACATGCTGGTTAGTTTTTTTTTTTAATTATTATATCCTGTGCTTTGTAAAAATCTATGTTTCATTTGATTTGCTATCTTGCCAGCAACTAATCTAGCTGCCTTTAGTGAGAGCAGAAATTAGGCATGTGAAAGTGACGAAACCAGCAATCCACTCTTATCCTGTGTCTATTTTCTTCTTTATTTAATTTTCACCACAATTACATGCTAAGTAGCAAAAACAAAAATGAGATAATGGATCTGAAGCTAAAAATATGTCCTATTAATTCAGATTATGACTACATAAATACAAATTTAAACTTAGTGTTTGTTTCTAACCCTAAATGAGAAACATAGGTGATTAAAATTCAGACCATAAGTTGAAGTGAAACTTTAATAAGTCCAGGAAGAAATATTCTGCCATTCTTTATGCTTTTCTCCTGTTGTTTTAGGCACAGTCTGCTTGCAGTGTCCTTCTTTGGTGATCGTATCTTCTATTCAACATGGAAAAAGAAGACAGTTTGGGTAGCTAACAAGCACACGGGGAAGGATATGGTTAAAATCACCCTCAGCTCATCATCTGTGCCACCCAGTGGAATTAAAGAGGTTCATCCGCTCGTACAGCCCAGGGCAGAGGGTGATGCTTGGGCAACTGGTGAGTCATCTTTGACCTCAAACAGGGTCCGGCACGTAGACCCCACTTATCCACATACTCAAGACAGACATTTAGGAGTCATCCCTGATTTCTCCCACTACCTCACCCCAATTTTCAGCCTACTGCCAAATCCTTTCCATTCTACATTCTAATGCATCTCAAATGTCCACTTCTCTCTTCCACTGCCACCACCATAGTCCAAACAGCCGGCATGTCTTGCCTGGCCTGTTGGAGCAGCCACTTAATCTTTTCATTTTCTCCTCTTGCTTGTAAATAGTAAATCTGATGGGTTAACTCCTCTACTTAAATTCCTTCAAAAGCTTTCCTTTGCAATTGGATTGTAATTTAACATTTAACCAGGCCTATCAATATTTGAGCAACTTGATTTAGCATTCTTTCCTCCTCCCCTCACTGGACTCTGACACAGAGCTTCTTGTAGTTGCTCAGACATGCCAAGCAAGAGGGCACAGCGGATGGACATGTTAGGGTCAGCGCACCTTTTCCTCTCGCGGCCCATGTTTATCTGCCTTCTGAGCATTTCTACTTGGATTTCTTGAAGTGCTGCAGGCACAGAAGGAATAACTGACCCACTCACTTTCCCTTCCCTTCTGCCCAACTCTTCTCCCTCCAGTGTCTGGTTGGAGACCTCCAGGTGTAGGCCTCGGTGAGTGGCATTTTATCTCCCTATCCCCAGGCACAGGTCCATCCTTGTGAGATCACTCTCCAACTCCTAGCAGTTCCAGCACCTACCGTCTTGTGCCCCTCTCGGCAGCTCTCTGTCCCTGGGGTCCACTTCATCAGTGTCCCTGACTCCCTCTGCCATGCTGCAAGGAGCATCACCCTTCAAAAAGGAGAACCCAATCTTGTCATTCCTGGGTTAAAACACTCTCAACTGCCAATAATAAAACCAGTTTTTTTTTTTTTTTTAATTGAACTGGTTCATAGCAGCCCTGTTTGTTTCTCAGTTTCCTCTCTTACTATTCATTATAGTCAGGGATACAGTCATCCTCAAAGTTTCAATTTTGTCTTACCCTAGGAGGCACACTTGCTCTCTCCTCCAGCCTTTCAGCATGATTGGGAACATGGTTTCTCTCTCTTTCTCTCTTTTTTTTTTTTTGGCTGCACAGCTTGCAGGATCTCGGTTGACCAGAGGTTGAACCCAGGCTGAGACAGTGCAAGCCGTGAATCCTAATCACTGTTCCCTGGTGGTTCAGACAGTAAAGAATCCGCCTGCATTGCAGGAGACCTAGGTTCAATCCCTGGGTCAGGAAGATCCCCTGGAGCAGGAAATGGCAACCCATTCCAGTGTTCTTGCCTGGAAAATCCCATGGAGAGAGAGCCTGGCCGGCTATAGTCCATGGGGGTCACAAAGAGATGGACATGACTGAGCAATGAACAGTTTCTTTCACTTTCTTTCAGGCTACCAGGGAACTCCCTGGGAACACTCTCTCTAATTCACAGCAGTGACTTACTCTTCATCCTATAAGAAATATTAATAGCTCCAATATCTCTTCTTTCAGGAACCCCTTCCCTGACCAGCTCACTGGAGCCTCAGTAGCTCTTTTTAGAAAGTAGCAGATTTCCCATCACAGCACTTATCATGGTTTGGTGTAACTGTCTGACTTCCTCAGCTTCCTTAGTCCTGTGAGGAGAGAGAATAGAACTCTCCATTGTATTTCCAGTGCCTAAAGGACATTTAATAAACTGTAGTAGAGGAAAAAAAGAATTAAAAAAACACCTTTTGACACCTTCTCCCCTCAATAATACCATAAGGAACAAGTTCTAAAGATATTTAATATCTGAGTACATGCTGCCTCCCTTACATGTTATAAGCCCTACACCCACCCTTGGCCAGATAGTCTGCAGGGGGCTGCTCCCTTTTGTATGTTATGAATGAATCCCAGTGCTTTAAATCATTTTTCCTGCAACAGGTCTTTGCAGCTCAGCTCTGTGCAGTGCTTGAGTCACTCAGCTGTGTCTGACTCTTTGGACCTCATGGACTGTACAGCCTACCAGGCTTTTCTGTCCACGGGATTCTCCAGGCAAGAACATTGGAGTGGGTTGCCATGCCCTCCTCCAGGGGATCTTCCCTGGAGGGTTCGGACCCAGGTCTCCCTCATTGCAGGCATATTCTTTACCATCTGAGCCACTAAGGAAGCTCTAGTGAGAGTCTTTTTCAATCTTTTAGACTCTTTTGTGCTTCAGAGACTTTTTTTAATTCCTTAGTTAATTGGTCTAGGCTTCAGGGAAAAGATTTGGGCTAGGAATAATAGATTTGGGGATCACATAGGCTTCTGAATAGGAGATAAAATAGAAAATGGCACAGGGTGTAGTGCTGTTAGAAATAATAGTAATAGTCATGACTATAGAATGGATGCAGAATGATCTGCTCTGGGCTATGTTATCTCATTTAATCTTAACCACCCTACAAGTCATGTGATATTAGTATCATTTTATAGGTTAAAAGCTGAGGTTCAGCAATGTCACAAATGCTTATTTAAGGTCACACTGGGGTAGACCTGGGGTTTGAACCCAGGCAGACTGACACCATGCTGCCTCTTCAGCTTTTCTCTCACTATTGTCTATAATTTCATCTCTTAGATTTGCCTTACTTGTTTTGGGAAAATCTGTAATTTGGCATATTCTTGTCTATCCATGGCATGCTGGTGGTTAAAAGCTTCAGTTTGCACATATCAGTGGGACCCAAATCTTATTTTTTCTTTTAAAAATGTTTTATATTATAGGAACTCAGAAAATCAATCTCTCTCTCTCGTCTCTCTCTCTCTCTCACACACACAGAGTCTCTCTCTCTCTCTTCTCCTCTGTCTCTCTGAAAAGAGACTGACTTAATCTCACATTTTTGCATTTTTGTTGTCATGATTAAACTTACGAGGCAACAGTGCTCTTGTGCCTGCCCTGACATCTGTACAATTACAGCCATCCCTCTGTACCCATGGGGATTTGTTCTAGGATTCTTGCCAATACCAAATCTAAGGCTGCAATAGTCCCTTATATAAAACAGAATAGTACTTGCATGTTACCTAACATCCTTATACTTTAAATTATCTCAAGATTACTTATCATACGTAACACAATGTAAATACTGTGTAAATAGCTGTAAATGCAATGTAAATACTATGCAAACCATTGCAGGTGCAAGGCAAATTCAAATTTTGCTTTTTGAAACTTTATAGAATTTTTTTAAAGAATATTTTCGATCCATGGTTGGTTGAATCTACAGATGTGGAATGCACAAATATGAAAGGCAGATTATATATGAATCTCAGAGCCAGTGTGGGAACTTTGTATATAGTGTTAATGACATTATTTCAAGTTCAACATTTGGGGAATTTGCAACTATAGTTTTGCTGCTCACAGATGTTCTTTTGTAAAAGGCGCAAATAATTCTGCATTCTTCTGTAATTCTTTAAAATGTTGATTCCAGTTTAAAGTTCATAAAAGAATTTCAAGAGCATATTCTTTAGAAAATATAGGACATCTGTCATCAACACTATTTAAATACTTTGCGTTCATTTCATGCACAGAAATATTGCTGAATGTCATTAATTCTGAGAGGAGAATTGCTTTTGCCTAAAAGTGTACCTGTTTATGAAAGTAGTTAGTGTAGCTAAAGCTGTCCAGACGCAACTCTGATTCATTTTGATTATGTCATTGCTAGGGTTTCTACTATAAAACCTTGGGGTTTTTGTAAAACTTTTAGAAAAGAATCATCCTAGATATAAATATGAGTATTTTTTTCATGTAATTTTTCTGAAATGTAAAAATTGTGGTAAAATGCATATAAAATTTATCATCTTAGGCTTTCTTTTTTTTACTGTGCCGTGTGGCATGCAGGATCTTGGTTCCCTAACCAGGGGTTGAACCCCTACCCTCTGCAGTGGAGTACAGAGTTTTAACCACTGGGTCACAAGGGAAGTCCCTCATCTTAACCATTTTTAAGTTAAGATGGCAGTAAGTTCATTTATGGTTTGTGTGTATGTGTATGCAGCCATCACCACCACTCATCTCTGTAAATGTTACCATCTTGTAAAACTGAAACTCTCCACCCGTCAAATAACAACTCCCGGTTTCTGCCTCTTCTCAGTCCCTGGTTCCCACCATTCTACTGTTCTTTCCATTTCAAGGATTTTGTCTCCTACTCTGCCTCCTATAAGTGTAATCATGCAGTATTTCTCTTTTTGTGACTAGTTTATTTTACTCAGCACAATGTCCTGAAGATGCATCTGTTTTGTAGCATGTGTTAGATTTTTTTTTTCCTTTTTAAGCCTGAATAATACCCCATTGCATGTATATATTCCATTTTACTTATCCATTTATCCACTGATGAATAATTGGGTTTCTTCCACCTTTTAGCTATTGGGAATAATGCCACTAAAAATGTGGGTATACAGATTTCTTTTTGAGACCCTGCTTTTAATTCTTATGAACAGATTGTCAGTCACAAACTATTGGATCACATGGTAATTCTATTTTCAGTTTTTTGAAGGCACATGACACTACTTTCCACAGTGACTACATCATTTTACATTCCCACTGACGGAGCCCAGGGTTTCCAGTTTCTCCATTTCCTCACCTACACTTGTATTCTCTGTTTTCCTGTAGTTTAAATTGGCAATTTGAGTACCCAAATCTGTTGTTTCTTCTAGAAATCTTAGCAAATTATGGATTTCTATATCTTCCTAACATTTGTAGATAGCTATAGATATTTTCTTAATGATAAGGATCATATTTACAAAGATTACACACCACTGGGGCAAGAATAGGACTGATTTGAGTGAGGCAAAGCTGGGTTTTTAATGCAAGTTTGCCCTGACACCAAATGGCTGCCATTTGAAATGCCTTTTAAATACTTTGAATAGCTCTTCATCGTTTTTCTATCTTTCTTGCTGTTGTCTCTTCTTGGTGGTTTCCGTATGACTTGCCGTGGCCTCTGTTTATTCTCTGAGGCTTTTCCCTGCCATTTGTTTGTTGAGGAATCC